TCTTAAAAATCTTGTAAATACTTATTTATTTATCATAATTTATTATAAACATAAACAGACCGCGAAACTGTAATTAGTGAAAAGTTAAATGATTAGAAAGAAATTATTTTTTTACTTTACTAACTATTGTCGTACCGAAAGTATTAACAAATTTCCATTTATTTTTTATTTTGTTGTCAGTTGATAAAAATGTGCTCCTTAATTATTATTTAAATTAATTATCACAGATTGATTATTTAGTTATTATATTTGTAAACTGTTGTTCTGTATAAGTAAGTTATATGTTGCATTAAATTTGCATAATATTTTTTCGGAGTAATTACATATCCATTAATGGGAATGTTAACATTTTTTTTTATTTTATATTATAATGCAATGGATACAATTTACATATCAAATATACGTTTAGTACGTTTTCGGTTTCGGTTACAAGTTGCTTCATAAAAGCATTTCGTTGGTGTCATGTCAAAATGGCGGGTGTTGAAAGAAATGGAGCTACAGTTTTCCTCTTACAGAAACGATATAATGATATTTTATTCTTAATGAAAATTATATAACAGTTAGGTATCTTAATTTTTATAATAAAGTTTCATTATGTACATAAACGGCTAATTGCTCAAACGGTTATATATAAATATAAATTTTTAAAATACATTATATTTAAGAAATAATAATGCACCTATGCATAGTATATATTTATCTGTTTATTCTAGAATTAACTTTTTGTCTCCAATATCATTATGTTACTATTAATATGTATGTATATACCAAATTAAATTAGGAATTACAGTAACAAATCGATTACAAAATGATTTCCAATTTTAGTTCTTACCAAAAAACAGCCTTACCTACAGGTAAGTTATATTTATATAGCACAATTGTCTAGGTTTTTATTATAAATATCTTAAAATAGTAGCGATATATTTTTGTCTTTTTGACGTATTAATTACATTAGTTAATAACTAATGTAATTATTTGGTCAACAAGATAGAATAACCAATATTTATTCTATCTAACTGCAAATCCAGTATTTTGAAATATAGAAACACAATTTTTAGAAATTGTTCCTTTTTTTCATTTCTGTTATTAAATGGGTACGTGAGTAATTTTTGCAAATTATTCTATTTTACCGTTTTCGATTTATTTCTCCTTTGAGATAAATTTTTCGAGATATTGTTTATTTCGGTTTTCATTATACAAAATAGTCTTAATAATGAGTACATGACTAAATTCCGTATTATCTGGGGATACCATTAGACTTATATTTTAAATACCTATAATGTAATAGTTAAAATTTAAACATGGGTATATTTAGATTCAAATTAGTACTAAAAATACCCTAAAAGGGCATTAAATACCAGTCATTATACTAGTATCTAAACATCTAAGCCTCAAGTAGGTATTCATTAGCTCTTCCCAGAATCCTGTGTAAGTAATTTATATCAACAAGCTTTAGAGTGGGTGTAGATAACACCAGTCTTAGATTTCAATAAGATAATTAATGTTTGAGAAAATTTCTAATATGTATAGGTACTAGATAAAACATTATACAAATGCCAAGGGTCAACACCCACGCAACAAACTTTTGTACTCCTAAGTATAATTTTATCAGTAATATTGATTTTAATTAGCAACAAATACAGCGCTGCGAAAATATCAAGTTACTTACAGATTATTAGTTACAAAGCGTTTAATAATCCTAACATTCTAAAAGAGAATATTTTCCTACAGTGTGCATGAAATTACAAAAATAGTAGAATATTAGAAATAAATAGTTTTTTGTAGTCCATACAACATACATAGAATAACCGGGATAAAGAGGACACCCTTTGTATTTCTTATCTATTGTAATCGTAGTTTAAGAAACCGTTCAGCATGAATATGTTGCTATTGGTATTCTATAATGTCTTCAGAAGACAGTCTTCTTAAGTAATAAAGGATGAATAATTTTAATAACTTTAACACATTTTGGTTAAGAACACGACATCTTATTACTCTGAAATGGCAACGCAAAAAGTAATTGATATCACTCATGGTATCAATTATCACTGGAGTTGCATAATAATGAAATGTCTATAGTGTTTTTTTTTCGAGCGTTGATAATGGAATGGTGCACCTGTCCCGCGCTTACGGTTTACGCCGGCGGGGCACCAGAGGAGGATGATAAGATGAGCATGTGGTCAGGTCAGTTAGCCCCTAGTGCAAATTCACCAGGAATTTAACACGATGGTTTCCTCGGGGAACCGCGTGGAGGTCAACCTGACATGGTACATTGCTAGTAATGGGGTTATCAATCCACATTACTAATAATCCCCTCCCCCCTGTCTATAGTGTTGTTCATGTACATGTGCGACGGTTACCGCTTACCATAAAATTGTCGTGTCACAATGTTAGTTACCATACTCCTCTGAAACGACTTAACCGATTTTTATGAAATTTTATATGCATATTCAGTAGGTCTGAGAATCGGCTACTATCTATTTTTCATTGAAAGGGTTGTCCATCCCTAACATTAATTTCTTATTTTTTGAGCAAAAATTTTTTTTTTAAATATCGTTAAAATATATATAACCCTAAATTTTCACTCTTCTATCATAAACCCCTATATTTTTATAGCATTATTAATTTATATGGCAAAACATCGTTTACCGGGACAGCTTGTAAAATATATTAATTTGCAAATAACTCTGTTTATACGGATACCCTCGTGCAAACTGTATTTGTTTCCAATCTCTATTTCTAGTGAATTCAGTTGCAGGTATATGAGACTTGACACATACCTTACTTTATTTACAATTTCCCTCACTACATTTTATAAAGCTGGTATTTTAGGTAATACATACGAGTAGGTTCCAAAGAAACAGGTAAAAAAATATATAAACATGTAATAACTACATCTTAGATAGACTCACCAACGTTACAGTGATTAAGAGTCAAATTAAAAATCGGAGTCAAGTTATACTTTTATTTTGTTGAAAACAAGTTTAATGAGGCGACGAGTAAAGGGTACGTAACGAAACAAGGCGATTATATAACTTTCCAGTACAAACTTAAAGTTTAATCCATTTTTTCTTCGACAAGCATTTCTATGGGTAAGACGATATCTTTGATTATTATTAGGTAGCTTGTTGACGTCTTATTGAATTATTTATGAAATAAAAAAAATATCTCTGCGGTATTGACTTATAATCCGCAAAAAACTGGACAATTCTACTCTTTACGACTGCTCCTTCTCTATGGTGTTGTTATATATTGTATAGTTTGGTCTAATCACTACAATAGATTTGCTCTTATTTAGTTACTCAACCAGTTGGTTATTGGTTATGAATTGAATATTGTGACTCTAACAAATTAATAATAAGTGGTAGATTAAAAAAATAAGTATGTCTACTCATAAGTGCTTAAATCAAGTACATTTGTATAAAGACTGCTACTTTAAATCTTGTATTATATTTAATGGAATCAGCGTACAGTAACTTATCGAATCGTATCGATGTCAAATCGAATAGATAATATATAATCGATAGCTTTTACCTAGTCTATGAAATAAAACTTCTATAATTCTATAATTATAGAAGTTTTATTTCATAGACATGCAGTTTATTAACATTTGTATATTTTTATTTACAATCTCTCTTAGTTTGAATCAACTGTATCTACATATCAAATTTCAAATTCAAAGTTAATATTTAAATTCAGTATTTAAGAGATATGACTCTTAGGCCCTATTTTGAAAATCAAATAAGTTTCAGTTAATTCTAGGTATGTGTACAAACTTTCACAGAGAGGATAGGTACAGCGTCATTACTTCCGAAACAGCGGGAATCCAATAACATTTCATGAAATGTATTACAGTAGTTTGTGGAATGTTGCACATTCATTTCCTTACTTAATACATTGCAGTGCACCAGGAAATTATGTCTCGACTGAAGTTGCTACAAATGGTTCAAAGCTAATCCTGCAATGGAATGTGTTTGAACGATATATTGGAGTTTCAAACAAATTTTATGACATTCATTTGTTGTTTGTAATTACTCTCGTTTAACTTTTATAGGTCAAAATGGGTACATTTTAATATTATTTGAATAAGCAAAAACATTATGAGCATAAAAAATCTATATATTTATTCTGAATAATTCACATAGCGCCATCTAGTGCTAACAAAGTTTGTGTTATGGGTACTAGATAACTTATATACTTAGAGAAATGTTTGCTGTTGTTCATAGATACTCATGAATACAAATGTTTGTATGTGTGAGGAATCGAACCCGCGACCATCGGAAGTAAAGTGCTATGCTACCCAGCTAGATCAGCGAAGCCGTCAAAATATATCTTGCAGGTTAGCTTAAAAGCTAGATATTTATGAGCCAGAAGTCAAAGATATTTTTTATGTAGGTAATTTATTAAACTTCTTCTGAATGCAATTGCTGTTTTTTTTATTTATTATGCATTTACTTTTTCTTCGTGTGTCTTCCTATGTTAGAACATACAGTCATAAATATAACAATACAATTTATCTTGGGTGAAATGGATAAAATAAATTATGTCTGGTATTTAAAACACAATTAGCGAGACTACTAATTCAATAAAAAAATCACATTAGGCCAGCGGGAATAAGTAAATTGGCATTGTACTATAAAGGAAATAAAGTAGATACTTTTAAAAACGATATAATATCTTGGCATACATTTAAAACAATAAATAAATAATGTTTAACCACCCGAAAGTTCGTGGTAATAGGTATACCTAGTAAAAAATGGTTATTTTTATTATATTTGCGCGGTTTATTGCTAATTTCCTCATTTATATCATATTATCAATTTGTATATTGTAAATAGCAAACGGAAACAGCAAAAACAAAGAAAATTCGAAATCAGAAAACGATTCTAAATTAATATTTTACTTCTTTAACTACTTATAAATTATATATTTCTTCTTCCAGAGAACACAATCAGAAAATGAATTAATTATAAGTACATAAAATAACGCAACGGCGACAATAAAATTTAGTTTTAAGTATAAAATAAGAACCCTTTGATAAATGTTATCAATGAGATGTCTATTCAATCTCAGTGAAAGTGTATAATGGTTTGTAGACAAATATGTGACGTAATAAGATAAGAAGTATTGGTGAACACTGGTGAAGTGAAAGTGTTTTGTTAGTGATCACAACAACGTGGTTATACGCGAACGTGTTCAAGCGCGCATGATTAAAAAATAAAGCCAGACGATACGCGCGTAATTTAAAAAAAAAACAGAGCTGTAAGCAAGGAAGAAAACGCAGCCGTGTCGAGTTTTCGTTGGGGTTGAAGGCTGTATATCATTATATTGTGTGAGGCTATCCGCCCCCGGGTTTGGGCCAATGACGCCACGGGCGACGCCCCCGCGCGGCAAACCGCCGCACTTCTGTCTGGCAGTTTTGCTCCTGATACTAAATGCCGGTAAGTTAATTTTATACAACACCTTTGTCGTATCCTAGTTTTGTTTTTTCAATTAAAGGTTTTTTGTTACATATTATTCTTAAGTATTTGTAAATGTATGTCATAATACTTACGCAGTAAGCACTACTCATTATATTCACCGTTAGTGGTAGTAAAATATTCTATACTTTAAATAACTTCTATAAATGATGTTATTATGCATACTCCCGCCTGTACCCCATTTCATCCAATTCCTACAGCGGTGCCAGATTTCGATGAAATCGGGTTACCTAGCCAATCGTGATTAAAAATCCAGAAATTGAGTAGAAAGGTTTCCAGAGGAAGAAAGAACCACAGAAAGATCGCCCTGACACCAATATTTCATGCACAATGTCCCCATTGTAATAATTCCCTCTCTGCCTTTGGGATGTTGTTTTATTCCGTAATCAGGGGTTGATTAACATCTGAAATCTACCTGATTTAATATCTTGCCGAGACTAATTAAACATGCTCAAATTCGATAGGGTTACTATATTATTTTATTACAACCTTCCTACGACCCTTGTTCGGTTCTACTATACCTAATCATCGGAGCAGTTACATGATAATATTATATTTTGGAATAGTAGTCGTCTTCAATTAGTTGATAATACTAATAATTTATTGTTTTATAAATATTTAGATTTCCAGACTTTTTTGTGTAGGTTTTCCAATCTATCCTAAGAAAGACATAAGAGTAATTTAATGAAATATAAACTTTTAATAATTTGAAAAAATTAAAAACAAAATTTCTATAAGAATACTTAAATAAAAGTTTATTACATTTTTTTCATGCGTGTAGGTTACCTTACGTTTAACGCCTATTTTTAATTTTAATCCCTCTACATACCTACATACGTATCTCTTACCTACGTATTCATAAAATTCTTACATTTTAATAAAATACTCTTCTCCTCTCTACAAAAAAATATCATCCAAATCTCATATTTTAGGGGATTGCCCTCAGTTATGAGATTTAAATAGTCATTTGTTCACTTGGAAATAAACCTTTTACGAAACTCTTCACTTAGTTCTAAAAACGAATATGTAGGTATTATTATAGGTGCGATTCTCATTAACACATATATGTATTTTTATACACGTCTAATGTGTGCAGGTGATCTTGATCCTTAATTGTTCGTGACCCTGTGTTTGCTTATATTAAATAACGCCATTATTGACTCATGACAGTATGATGATTATAGAGTATTTAATAAATGCATAAGAAATAGCAACAAGAAATCCTAACAACTGTCCTATTTTATATTAATGGATGTATTAATGAGTTATGTAATATATTCAATATCCAATATTGAAAATATTTATTCACTTCGTACATCGAAGCATTTTATATTTTACAGGTCAGTTGTTCATATTTTATATTTATAGCTCTTCTATCCAATTATGCAGGCAGTTTCTATTGAGTAGAACTGGCTAGAAATTCAACTGTAGTGCTCTTTAAAATAAGACTATTATCGTACTTGTAATATTTATTTATAGTACAAGTCGCATGTACATATAATAAAAAAGTAACAGGCTAACATTTAATTAACATTACTTATATTAAAAAAAACAGTAATACCAGCACATTATTTCGTAGTAGAGAAATATAATTCAAATTTTTACCTTTGTCTCTATATTCTGTCTCTATATTCATCTGTGTGCATAAATTTTAATGCAATTTACATTGTTGTATTACTATAGGTCTAACTTAAAATATAAACTCTATTTATCTGCTGGAAAATACTTATTCCGGGCTAAGCATACGCGGATTCGTATTCTATATAAAGATCTCATACATGAACAAGTAAAAAATGTTATAATTTAAAATACAACAGCATTTTAAATTTGTAATTAGTGAAATACATTTTGGTAGAACCATGTTTTTGTACCTATTTTGTATATACTAGTACCTATTTTGTACTAGTAGATACAAAATAGGTACAAAAGCATGGTTCTACCAAAATGTATTTCACTATTTAAGGACTACCTCGTCTGTTTCCATTCTATGATATCCCATTGTATTTTAGCTTTTACAACAAAACCATAAAATGCCCGCATTACCACTCAACACAAACATAAGTAAAATGAGTTAATAATTCGATGGAATAAACCCATGTTTTTGTCTACGGATCACAAGTAACGTAGTCCTTTACCGACCTAATTAGAATCTCACTATAAAGTTTCATAACTATTAGAACTACAGGTTCTAATAGTTAGATATCTGGTTCCGGTACTAATTCTATGTAACTATGTACCTTGTCAGGGAACTGCGTGGAGGTCACTCCACGCAGTTCGCTCTGAAAACCATTGTGATAAATTCCTGGTAAATTTGTCACGATAGGCTAACTGACCTGGACTTATTACCATATTATCATCTTCCACTGGTGTTTCGCCAGCGTAAACCATTAGCGCAGGCAGGTCAACCATACCATTATCGTCCATTAAAATACATATAGATGGACCTTAAAATAAATTAGTTTGACAATTATTTATTTGTATGTAGATATATATTAGATAATGATGATAAATAGATACTGTTCTGGAAAGTAAAAATTCTTACTAAACTTGCTCATATTATTCTTCAAACTATTTCATACCCGAATGATCTATCAAAGTTTTTCAGTTGATCACATCGGGCTCGTATCACTTTTGCATTCAAACTACAGAACAAAGAAGTAAGTAGTAGAAGTACTTAATTCTCTGTTCTGTAGTACAAACAGTGTTGTGATTTGTATAACATACTAATATTTTTTTTTATTTAATATCCCTTATTACCCCGTAACGGACCTAACGTAATCAGAAACAGTTAGAGCTTTCTTATTTCTTATTACTTCAAGGAATTAGTGCCATTTAAATATAACTTGAATTTAAACTTCAAATCAAAGAAAAACAAAATATATACATACATTTAATATTAAAGAATTGGTATACTAGTAACTCAACAAGAGGTATCAATTAATAACAACACACTAGCTTAGCAAGAGCTTACTATTCAAAGGTAAGCAACTCAATCAATTGTCGAACATACCCTTGTAACTGTGACCTACATCTCATGTGTATTGATGATTTATCTTATCTGATCTGGATTAAGGTCGTGAAATGCACTATATACTTGTATATATATATATATATTATGATACTTACAGGAACTGCTTCAGTTCCAGCTGCGATGTAATCTAGGCTTACTCTACCTAATCTTCCTAGCGTGTTTTTAAAAGCGCTTCATTACTGTAATACATACTACGTAATCCTAGCTCTATATATTGAACAACTAAGACGAAAGTTATATTTTATAATAAAGTTTTAGGAGAATAAATTATATAGGCTCGCAATATTTTGAGCCTACATTATTGAATGGCCATGAAGCCTGCCTGGCCTGATGGCCTAGTAGTTTGTTACCGAAATTTACGCCGAAAAATCGGGACTTAAAATTTGATAGACACAAAATTTTCTTTGTCAATTTATATTTCTGACTTAATCTTCAGTAATAGAAATAACAATATTAAAGTAAATCAATGCAATTGCAGTTTTGTATCCCTGTTACGTTCAAACATACCCATCTAAATATTGGCATGTCACGTTCGTTCACCACGACGGTGACAATAGACAATTCTTCCAACTACCGCATTATATATATATATATATATATATTCGTCATGAAGGTTTATTAACATTATTCAATCAATAAAGTTCCCAGCAAAATAACCTACTTTCTGTATCTCATATCACAATATATATGTATTTCAATCAATAAAATATTCAGAATATCATATAGGTCGACGAGATGCTATTTGCATGCAAATTGCATGCATGCATTTTTAACTAATAATAATCTAACGCCCTTCTGGTGAAAAGTGGTAACAGTCGACTATAATCATATGGCCATATAAGACAGTAAAACTATTCAGGTATTGTCATTCCTGAGGATTGTTTTCATGCTCCCGAACCATGAAGTTTCATGGTTCGGGAGCATGAATGAATCAGTGCAGTTGCACTGTCATACGTCATATAACGGCCTCGGTTTACTTATGATGGTCGCGGGTTTGTTTCCTTACAAGATGGTACAAACAATTGTATTTATGTGTATGATTGTTTGTATCGGTTTGGGTATTTTTATTATATAGTATGGTATTTACAAAAAAAAATATTTAAGTGTATATTATGTAATTTGGGTTAGATTTTGTAAGTTATCCGGAGATATTAGTATTATATGATTATATCCCACCCTTCCTATAAGAACATAGCTTGGAAAACTTGTTGCATAAACACAGAATTAGGTAAGTCCACCTAATTGTGATACCCACGCATATAACTATTAAAGATGTTTTCCTCTGCGAATTAGCTTAAAAATTTTATGATGCTTTATAGATGCACATAATCAATATATTTATAAATATATGTATGTCTTATCCTTGATGACCTCATATGGTCACAGCACACTAATTAGTAATATAAGCTCTTAAACGTGTATCTGAACTGAATAAAAAATCATAAAATAAGCAAAAACACAACGTACCGAGACGACATCAAGGTTACGGCTGTAATAAACAAATATTCAAAATTGATTAGACGATATAAAATTTCTATTAAATATTTTTTCATGAAACACAAGTGCTTGCTAATTGATAGGTAATAAAAACTGTTCAAGCTTAGCAATAAAAGGCACTTAAAAAAATTTAATGAAATTATTGAAGTGGATACCTAAAGAATAATTGGGTTTGCTTTATTAATATGATATTTTAATCCACTTACGAATGTGTATAGATTTAATAACAAAACTATTGATAGGTCATGTGTCATATTGTCTATAGGTACTAAAGTTAGATGTTCACCTATTTTTGACCTGTGTTACCTTTTTACGGCTTTTAAAGATTTTTATTAATATTCATGTGTGGAGCTAGGATTCTGTGTAGAGCGCTAGGGTTCGGTGCAGCATGGTGGTATTTAGAGGCGTAATATGAAAGTATAACAGTATATTA